CGGTATCTGATGATGGGAAGTAGTAGTAGTAGGATAGTGTATCAGGATAGTATTGCCGCTTGCGATTGCAGAGAACTTCGGATGGCGGTAGTATAATAACCTGGCTGGCAACTACTTACGGGGTGAAAACTTTGGGCCCTAGGATCCAATTGTACATCTTCTTTCAAATCAAATCAAATCAAATCAAAATAATTTATTTGTTGAACATAGGTAGATACTTATTTAGTTACAGATGATGTTGTACTCTTAAATGAACGCTATGTCAAGCCGTCACCGGCATACAAATACAATTTTACAAACAAAAAAAAAATACACTTAAATACCAGATAAAATTAATATTATTCTACACACTATATACTATAATTGCACGAAACCTCCAAAAACACAATTAATTCTAAAAATAATCTAAGATAAAACATTACAATGCATCAGTTAGGTACTCGTTTATAGTATAATATGATTTTTCAAATAATAGTTTAAGTAAGGCTTGTTTAAAATCATGGACATCACTTTTTTCTTTAATTGATCTAGGGATCTTGTTATAAATCCTAGGTGCCATGCCTAAAAAGCTTCTTGTGTATAACGCGGTACTGTGTGAATTAGCGCATATATCTTTGTCGCGTCGTTTGGATCTTAATGTTTCAAATAAATGTAAGTTTGACTTGACAAATACTGCTGTTTCAAAAATATACATACAGGGTAATGTTAAAAGTTTATGTTTTTTGAAATATGGAATACAACTTTGAGTTGGTTTCAGTCTAAACACAGCACGCACACATTTCTTTTGGGCCTTAAACGCAATTTGCTTATCTGTGGAATTCCCCCAAAATATTATTCCAAAACGGAGTGTTGATGTCACATAGGCTTTATAAGAGATTAGAACAACGGATTCATTTACAATTTTTGATAGATTATAGAGGGCATATGAGTACTGATTTAGTTTGTTACAAATATTTTCTACATGCAATTTCCAGGTCAAATGAGTATCCAAGTGAAGTCCCAGAAACCTGGCACTGCTTGTTTCTGCAATTTTTTTATCTGCATAAGTTATATTTTTTACATTCGTTTCATCTTACACGGATGGTTGACACTTAAAGTGACCGAAACGCTGGTTACCGAAAATATAGACTAACTAGAGAGATAAGAGTTGCCACCCAACGAAACAATGCTGCGAGTGCGAGTCTTGTGAATAGGAAGGTTTAGGTAATTTGTTCAAGTAATTTTGCTTTATACGAGGTAGTAAGTCGGAGTAACACATTTGCGGTGGCTTTTAGGATGCATTTTACTAGCATCTTATAACAGAACATGTACCGTAAGGTCCGTAAGTGTTCACACAGCACGACAATGATAATCGTAACGATTATACAGATAGGATCTAGGTACTTCCTTAAGAGGAATCTTTCAATATGAATGGCACAAGCGTTCTCAGTTCTTTTATAACATAATACTAAACAAACAATAATACAAGGAAAACCTGATGAAAGGCCACTCAGCTGGGACCTTGAGCGATGACATCAGACCTGTGTGTCATCTTAGGACATAGGCTACTATCGTAATGGGTGTAAATAAAGGTGTTAAGAAACTTGGATGCAACGCGATTAGAATACATAACTACATCGCAAAGACGACAGTGATGACGAAATAGCGGTTCGCTAGTTTGTAACTAAGGAGTACCTAATTGCTTTTGATCTGAATGTAGCTAATTTTATAAACGTCTAAGAGATCCCAAATAATTTTTTTTTTAATTTGTACTGACTGCAAATAGGCTAATAAGAACCGATTTTCAGCGGCTTAAATTACAAGCAAGACTTGAGAGACTGGTTAAAGTCTTCCTAATATTAGAAACGTCAATTTCTCTGAATCTGCTAGAAGGAAATAAGGAAATTACATTTCCTTGACAATACGATTGACGTATTGAGGAATTAGTACGCAGGAAATTGAGGATTACACGCAAATATGACTGTGATCAATAGTGAAAAATGTATTGTAGGTACCTACTTACTAGGAAAATGTGCAAATACTTGTATTTTAACGATTATAACACTACATATTTCAAATTAAATCTATTTATTAAAAAGCTAAAGAGTTTATTTGTTCGGGTGCACTCATCTCCGGAACTACTGGTTGGAATCGAACAATTGTTTTTGTTTTTGAGTTTCTTAGTCCATTTACCGAGAAAGGCTATAGGCTATAAGACATCCCGCTATGATCTTTAGGAGCTGAGCAGCGGGTGAAACCGCGTAAGAGTAGCTAGTCACGTCAGAGGTCCAATTATGGCTGGCTGGATTATGGCCTTTTCCTAAAAAGGAGGGATTACCAGAATCGCAATCATTTTAAAATAAATTCAAATTCATTAAAGAATGCTGTCTGCGGCCTCTTCCCGATGTGCAATTTTTTTGCCTTAAGCTCTGGCTCTCACGGCACCCGCGAGAAGAGTATCATGGATGATGGTGAAAAATGGAATACAAAATTTGTAGAAGTAGAATGTAGTCATTCGATGAGAGCAATGAAACTAATAGACTCACATGTAATGCACCAGTCTATTTGCGTGGTTGAAAAAAAATCTAAATTAGTGATTTAAATCAATCTTCCTAAGTGACAGTCGTAATCGAGTTGCAAGTAACAAAAATAGAAATGACACAGATTACTCATGTATGTGTGACCCATGTAGGTAGTAAGTTATTTCATTGTTTATTTTCGTAACGTAAATCCGAAACGCAAATAATTTCGAAGATGACTCCCACTGCTGAAACAAGCTCTGCTTATTTCTGATGCGATTATTCTTGTCGTAAGTAATTGGATCATGAATTGTTTTTATTTTTACTTGCAACATTATTTTTGTTTTTATGTCACATCATAATCGCACCACTTTCTTTATCGCGGGAATGGTGAATAAGAAAGGGCACAACAATGTTTTGTTAACAGTAGATTAATTTAAAAGACAAAAAAAACAACATAAAAATTTGTGCTGGAATTGAAAAACTGTACCATCAGTTGCACTTTAGAACAGCAGGGCTTCCATAAGGGTATTTTTTATCACATAAAATAACTACCTAATTTGTACCTGAAATTCAAAATCATTAAGGTACAGTAAAACAAAAACACAAAAACAAATATTTCAGATACAACTTAATTGTTGTTATTAATAAGGAACAAAAAAAATCAATGCAAAGATTGAAAAATAAATCAGTGCAGTCAGCAGCAAAAAATAATGATGATTTAACTGAAGAAAACATGTTTGGTCCGACCATTCAATGGGCACTAACGAATAGAACAAAAAATGCTGCTTAAGATAATTTTACATACTTATCTTACTCAGTGTCAGTTAATTATATGGACAAGGGTATTGGCTTCTTGCCTGTGTGATGTATACTTGGAAACTCATCATACCAGAAAGATTATAAGTTTCTTTACTAGATACTGGTAATTTCTAATCCAATTTGTTCAAGATAGTGACGCAGAAGTTTAGCAATTAGAGCCTAATTAGGCCGGAGTTATTAATTGTACTAACAATTAATAACTCCGGCCTAACAACAAACTATTGTTGTAGTAAAAGTATGCTTTGAGTAGTTAAACTTGCTACCACTACTTAAGATAAGATATTATATTTTTGTGAACAGACACTTACATGAGTTTTTACAGTTTACTTAAATGGCCAGTTACAATATTGTTTTTTAACAATTTAGAGGACAACATAATAAAAAAAATAATTTGCCTATTTATAGTAGATAAATGTAAATATTTTTAATAGCCAGATAAAACGGGAAAAATTATTTAAGTCAATAAATTAATTTATAGTTTATTTTAGTGAATTATTAAAATTAAAAAAATTGCTATGGTGAAAACTAAAAAAAATATAAAAAGGAATAGAAAATACTGGCTTTTAAGAAAAAAAAATATTATGTTGTGTGTATAAAATAAGTGTTGTGTGTTATGAAGCTAGTACTAACTTATTACCCGACTGCCAAAGAAGGAGGGTAATGTTTTTCGAGTGTATGTAAGTATGTATGTATGTCTTTTCCTTTGTGACCTCCTGTAGCCTAAACGGCTTGATGGATTTTGATGTATGAGGTATCGTTAGATTTGTCTTGATTACGGGAGTGTCATAGGATACATTTTATCCTAAAAGTCCCACGGGATAAAGACATAATAATATTTTTTCTAAATTTCCCTTTAAAAAAATATGTATGCGGTATCATTAGATTCATTTCAATCACGGGAGTAATTAATATAGGATACGTTTTTTCTCAAAATTCCCACGGGAACATGTTAATTCTGCGTCAACGCAAAGCAACTCATGCGTTAGCAAGCAAAAAGATAGGACGTGGCCTGGCATACAGCTAAAAAGTTATAAATAAAAAAAATATTATTAAAAAAACAAAATACCCGACTGCACACTAAAAAAAGAGTAAAACAAGCCCCACAATACAAATTTACTGAATATAATTTATAAATGTTGATGGAAAGCATCGCAGGCGGGGACCAACAGAGGCTTATTTATAGTCATTTCTGTTGTGCACCATTTAGCAGAATTTTCGTTGGTGGCGGTCAAGGTGGTCCCCGCCTGCGATGCTTTCCATCAACATTTATAAATTATATTCAGTAAATTTGTATTGTGGGGCTTGTTTTACTCTTTTTTTAGTGTGCAGTCGGGTATTTTGTTTTTTTAATAATATTTTTTTTATTTACCTATTGGTACAGGTGTAAACTAAAAATGCAAGGTCAACCACTATGATAATACCACACCAACGAAGTCATGTTTTCTTTAATAAAATATGTGTATTTTCATTTTTTTACCTCCCACGAAGTCCTAAATGAGAACGTTCAGTCTTATGGTACACAATGCGAGAGAATTTAGAAACATCCTAATTTTTATGAACATTCGTATATTTACGATCAAAACTAACATAAAAGTCTAGTCATCAATGTATTTTCAAGTAAGTTGCACCTTTCTATCCATAAATTGTAAATTTGATGACGATATCAACAACACAACTCACCTCAATTGCAAATTTTGGATAAAGGTATCGGTGGTCAAGTTGTCCAACAGGACGAAGTCGGGTACACCGACTTCTGGCTGCGTCGCCATAGTTTATGATTCACTTTACAATCCACCACAATAATAAATAACAGTTCACACACTATTTAACTTTAACGAGTAAAAAGTATTGTCAACAAACCGTTAAAAATAATAGAACAAAATACACAACTCCTCCTCTCGGTCACTTTATTCAAACTGACATTTTTTAAATAATTCGTGCTGTCAACCTGGCTCGGTATTGCCACAGATTAAATAGTTTAAGATTTTTACAGTTTTACAGCATATTCATATATAAAGCATTTAACAAGCCACATGGGCCTAAGTATTAATTTAAATTCATATAAATAAAAAATAAAATTTTTGATTGTTTGTAATTATAGAAGTTAAAAAATTTGATTAAATTTAAGCATATTTCTAAACTGAGCACACCCAAACCGCCGCCATTTTCCTTGTTGTAGGTGCCTCAAATGTCATAATAATTTCAATTTTCATGTAAAATAGAATTTTCTTTGATTTTTTAAGTTATTCGGTAGGTTAATTTAAGTGTTTTGCAAATTATTGATGTGTTCATAAGTTTTCATTCTGGGTTTGTTCGTGTGCTTTAGTCTCGTGACAGAAGTTCAAGTTAGTCGTCATTTCAAGGATTCTCAATGTCCTACAATGAGGATCATCTTCATAAAAGGTAGCAAAAGCGTTACGCCCACAGCGTGAAGATAAATCCTATGTTATTGTGTTCATATGGTGATGAGAACGCGAGGAGTGGTGAAAGTGCGCGTATATTGATGGGACAATGAGCGATTCCCCAGGCGTGGAGTGGCTCCCTGCGTTTAGCCCTGGCCCGCCACGCCACAGTCCGCTAGGCCCCATCCCGCGGTTTCTGTACGAAGATGTGCAGCCGCTGGGATTGCAGCAGGAGAACAATAACAAAGAGGCCGACCAGAAAGAGAATACGAATAAAATCAAACATGCGAAGCCCGCGTACAGGTAAACGATTTTCGTAGTGTTAAATCTGCCTGACTTCCTAATATGTGTGAATGAGTCATTTGTAAGTGACCCTTGAGAGTGATGAGTAATGAAATGCAACATTATGAAGGTTTTCATGAGACTGGCATTATTACTGGAAGTGCTGACACAAGCAACATAGTTAATTCAGGTCTCATTATTTTATTGTAAAAACTGAAAACAAGCAGTTTTGCAATTAGGAAATTCCAAGAAGAGACTTATCAGTTTTTTAGCAAATGTGTAGGTAAATGATAACATACTCCCTACTGTCCAATCAGTTGTAGCCAAGTGGATTTTGTTTGTGATGTACCTACATTGTTATATAAAATCCTGAAACAATGTTTTTAGGTATTTTAATTGAAACATATTATGTGAATTAGGCCAACTAAGCTTTTTAATGTAACTATACTTTTCCTCATCTTTGCTACCTAACCCAGTTATGAACAAAATTGCAACAACAATATTAAGCTTATTAATGCTATTTCTGCATGTTACTTCATTTGCAGTAATAATAAAACTCAGATCCAAAGTAAAAGAGACTATCATATTAAAGTGCTGTAATGGTAAAAACATGTCAACTTGCATATTTTCTGGTTGAAAAGTATAGAATGGCATATTGTATCATCACTATTCCAAAGAGGCAAAGATATCAGGCTCATTTATGAATTAAATAAATTATTTAGAGGTAAATATACAGATATGCACCAAATAAAAGCCACTAGATTACACTTCTACAAAATAATCATCTTGAAATATAGAACATTTTTTATATCTTATATCATATCTAAAAGGATTCCTTAACCAACATTAATCAACTTATCAGCTATTTGCTTCTTTGCATCCTGCATACTTTATGTGTGTGCAATAAGGATAAATATAATAATGTCATGCACTAGGAGTGCTAGGTCATCGCCCTGTGTAGTCCCTTTGCCTCTGGGCCGTCTACAATAATTATATGGTGCTTCTATACAATTAAGGCTGAGATCACTTAAACATGGAGCTTCATTAAAAATCAACTACCTATATGCAGTTTAAAAGAGAAAAACATATTCTACCAGCCAATGTTGTGAAATAACAAGGAAGATGTTTCAATAAGCCCTTTGTGTCCTTAGAAAATTGATCACATTTTTTTCCTCTTATTGTACTTCATTTTAAAAATTCCGAACTTGGATTGTCATTGAATCATTTTATTGAGAAAAAGAAAATACTTAACTAACATACATTTAGATTGGGACCTTCATTCAAACTAACACAGAAAAGCCTTGTCTAATTAATCTGAATTATAAATTGGATAGATAATGTTTGCGATCTGCATCTGAAATATCTTAAAAAATTCTTTTATTCAATATACAATATTGTTTTATATCACTTATATTGTCTTGACATAATTTTTTTATCAAAATCTGCAAGTTACTGTAAGATAGGTATTACATATCTGTAATGAAGATTATATTGATGACGTGTTTGTGTTATCCACAAGATTAAAACAATTTTATCAGATAGGGCAAGTTTATTGTGCTGTAAATGGGTTAGGAATGTTCAAGCAGCTTATAAATTAATTAATTTTCCCTAAATAGTTGAGAACTAAGAATTACTTGTATGATTCCATGACCTTTCTGACTCTAGATTCTCTCTTTTGTATTATTTTGTATTCTTTTGCATTCAGTTCAATGAATGAGATTTTTTTTAAAGATTCATGTAGCTATAGTTTCTCCATTTATCCTTATTTTTATTTCATAAGTAAAGGTTAAGACACTCTATTTTTATTGTTTTCTGTTGACACAGCTGAAATATAAATTGCTTCAATATCATCTTACTATGTTTCAGAATGTTATAATTACCTATTTGTACATATTACAAAATATGTGTCTATAAGTATTTTTATGCTGCTAGTCTATATGAATAATTTGTTTGGAAAATATTAAATTGATTATTCTCAAATTGAAAATTTTGTTGTTTGTTATCCTACTAATATTACAAACGCAAAAGGTTGTTAGTATGTATGGATATCTGTTGCTCTTTCTGTAAAAACTAGTGAAACATGGCACATAGATAGATTATAATCTGAAATATTACAGAGGCTTTTTTATCCAAAATAATGATACAAAGCGGTTAACAGAAGCAAGTAAATCATAAAGAAACAAACCATTTAAGTTCCATAATTTAGTTTATAAAGACACGAAAATCAATAAAAGGAATATATTCTAATTCTATTTTTCTTGTGTTCCAGTTATGCCAGTATGATAAGGCTGGCGATCAGCAGTTCTCCGAACGGCAAGATGACGCTGAATGAGATCTACACGTACATATGTAACGCCTTCCCCTATTACAAAGAAGCTGGCAAAGGTTGGATGGTAAGCTAAACTGACTTTTTGTGACCGTGACTTTTAGTGACTGTAAGCTACTATCACTCCCGATGCCCTCACTGAAACTGTACGTAAGTGACGAATTACGACATCACGCACCAACGGGGTTGAAAATGAAATAAGCGTGAGAGATGTAATAAAAAATAAGTATGGGAGAGCTAGAGTCCGGCGCGAAGCATCATTTCCTTTGTGTTTCGCCGTGTGAGCGAGGTTAGCGAAGGCCCAATCCTCTCCCCTCATCCTCAATCCTTGGTTACCCTAATCCCGTATCCTTAAATCCCTAATAACCCCCAAGAGGCTGGCAATGTACTTGCAACTACTTTGGTATTACGAGTTTCCATAGGCGGCGCTGATTGCTTACCATCAGGTAATCCATCTGCTCGTTATGTCACAGCATTGAGAGCACTCTGCTATATCTTCTATGTATTAAATTTGTGCCAAAAAGCCGCGGTGACAAAACAACCACAATCAGCGAGGGGCCTATAAGATTTCTGTTTCGATTTCCAGTAAGAAATTGTCAGTAAAAAACAGCAATAAAGAAAATAAACAGTCACGTGTATACCTAGTGTTAGGACTTCAGCTGTTTGCCTTGTTAGTATAAAACTGTGGTTTCATTTACAATCAAGCTTCAACATTCGATGACAATGTTTAGTTAAAAAAGCTTTTTTAAAACTTTAATATCACTATAGCATTTTACTGTCATCTGTTGTGTTGCCTGACTTGTATTCACAGCAGCGAATGACCAACGCTAAGTCGAAAGGGAACCTTAAGTTATTCATTCAATTTTCCTCTTTCAGAATTCTATACGGCATAACTTATCCCTGAACAAATGCTTCATGAAAGTGGCTCGCAGTAAAGACGATCCTGGCAAGGGCTCTTATTGGGCGATGGACACCAGCTACAAAATGGCGGAGGTTGCGCCTAGAAGACGAAGGAGTCTTAGGGTGAGTTGTAAAGTTCATCATCATCACTATTATCATCTACCTTTAAATGCCAACTGCTGAGCAAACGCCTCATCTCACACAGAGAAGGCTGTAGCATTCATCAACACGCTCGCTCAAGGAGTTTTATTATAAATAATGATATTATAAAGAGGTAAAATTTGTAAGTTTGTATGTAGGGGGTAATCCTTGGAACCGCTGGTCGGATTCCCAAAATTCCTTTACTGATAGATAGCTAAAAATGTTCCTGAGTGCTATAGGCTATAAAACATCACGCTACGATCAAATAAGCCGAGCGGTGGGTGAAACCACGTGAGAGGAGCTAGTTATAAATAATATAAGACCAGGTTTCCTCGTGATGGTTTCATTACTGGCATATGGTTAATATGCCAGTAATGTCTATATAAACTTAGAAAATACTTGTAACTTGGAGAAAGTCACATTGGTACTTGCATTTGATGCCAAACTCATGTATAAGAAGTGGGCGGGATAATAAAAGTAAACCACATCAGAAAAAAAAATATAGCTTAAAAGTGAGTCAATAGTTTAGAACGGTACATCTACGTAATTAATTTTAGTTTGTCAGTCATTAGCGCCAATTTTACTAAAAATCCCCAAATACGTCATTGTGTTAATGTTTCTACCCAATGATGCGTTTTTGTAAAATAGACCTAACACGTGAATTGATAGAGTTTACTATCTTTCGATATATGTATTGTATGATTGTTGTAATTTGGAAAATGAGACTCTTTGGCAATGTAATAAAGTTGATATTTTCGGAGCTTTGGTATGATTGTTGTGTGTACTCGTACAGATGGCCCCGTACAGCCCGGAGTGCAGTTCGAACAGTAGCGGCGAGGCGGGCGGCGCGGGGGTGGCGGGGGCCGACGCCGCGCCCACGCCGCCCGCCACGCCCACTACGCCGACCACGCCCACCTCGCCCACCGTGCCCGGCGCCGTCAAGGAGGAACCTATCGTCAAAGAGGAATCAGGTAAACTATAATCAGATACTTATGTTTGTTTCTTCTTGTTATTTATATATTCACTGGCGAATATAAAACAGCGGCTTTCTTTCGTCGTCTAGTGTCGTTCTCTTATATTATTTGGTCCGATAACGTTAACAAGATACTAAAGCGATTTTGGTTTGACTAAATCATACCTGTAGGAATGCTAAACAAGCAGTTGTATTGTGGCAAAGTGACGAAGTATGTGTTGTGAAGCTTGCTAGCACTCCTCGATGACTAAGACTTGTATTTTCACCTGCGACGTATATTGTTTACAGATTCGAAGCACACAGATGACGCGCTGTCTGCGCTCATGAACGAGGAGCTAATGACGGACGTCGATATAAGTAGCGGTGAGTACAATATATAGATTTCTTCTTTATGTGATAGGTCGGCAAACGAGCAGACGGATCACCTGATGGTAAGCAATCAGCGTCACCTATGGATACCCGTAACAACGGAGGGGGTACGAGTGAGTTGCCGACCTGTTGGGGATTAGGGTTTTGGATAATTAAGGATCGGGAAGGGATTGGGGTAGGGCGAGGGATTGGGTAGGGCGATAGATTGGGCTCTGGTAGCCTCGATCACACGGCAAAACACAACGCTGTGATTGTTTCACGTCTGTTTTCTGTGAGGCCGTGGTATCACTCCGGTCTTCCAAACTTAAACCTACTACAATATTATGTAGGTATGTATATTATATTTTAAAACGATGTAGTGCGGAGAATGATTTGTGTGTTGTGTACAGAGCGGTCGTGGTGCGACGGAGGGCGGCGCCACGTGTGCGGGGCGCTGCGCCACAGCTCGCTGACGGACGACTACGGGAACTTCGTCGTCACCAGGTACGACTGCGACTGCCCCGCCGACCCCGACCCCGCCGCCCTGGGGGGCAGCACCACTGGAGTGCTCGGGCCCGACATCGCAGCGCCGCTGACCCCGTTGACCCCGTTGACCCCGTTGACCCCGCTGACCCCGGCGTACGTGCCGCTGCCGTACTGGAACTCGGAGAGTTTATAACATCGGGGCCCGCGCGCGCCCCGCCCCTGACTCCGGTCCGCTGTCTCCTCCGTTCGGTTGCTCCGTGTCTCCATATCACCGTTTGTTTCACGTCAATTGTTTCCCGCGCTCTGTCCCGCCTTCACAGCGTCCGTGTGACGTCGCGACCCACTATACTTAACTAAACTTGACTAGTGTAAGGGCAAAATGTAAACGTAAGTGAGGTTAGATGTAACGGATTGTGCGCAAGACTTTTGATCAAGTTTTAAACGATACGTTAAATACTAAAACCTTAACTAATATAGGAAACTTTATTATCTTTATATCAAATCGTTTGTTACGTGAACTTGGTCAAAATGCTTTGCTTGTTTGGATCGAAAGTTAGCTTGATGATAAATAACTAGAGTATATAGTACATGTGTTCGAGTGAAGCTTGCCATTTTTGACACGTTTTGAACTTTATATATTTGACTGTGGTGATGACTGGACTGGCAAATATGGATTGAAAAAAATAATAATTGGTAAATAAACGATGTGTATTAGAATAATACTAATCACGCCAAACAATTTTACACTTTTTGATGTAGTTTATGTAAAAAAGAACATGCTTTATTTGCCCAAGTACACTGAAAGACTAGAGAGTCTTGTATTTGGCAATGTAATTGGAAATATTGCAAGGAAAGTTATACACAGCGTCCGTCGTTGCCACGTCGATAGAAGATATACCGAACAAGCACATAGATACTTATAAAAGTTTTATACAAGAAAGTGATTACAGAAAACATTATCAGCAACATATCTGTTGGATTACGATTATATAGAGTAGTGTAGTTACCTTAGTTGAAGGACTTGTTGTATTGTTGTATAAGCGATGTATAGCGTTACGTGGCGGACACATGTCCTCTGGTACAGCAGGAAAATTCAATATGCTACCTTCGAACAATATAATACCTAAATAACTATACAGTCATCCAATAATATAGGTACCGAAAAACAATACAATGTAGTTATATGGATATGACAAAATGTTATAATTATCTTTTGAAATTGGTAAATCATTCAATCACTTTATCACTTTTACCTACAATGTACACGGATATTGTATGTAGATACAACCAAATATTATATGAACTTTTCGTTTTGAAATTGGGAGATCACCCATCCATTGTCTTATGCCGTCATCTGAGGAGCCAACGGGAGTGAGGGGGTGTCAAATTCTTACTGACTCATAACTAACGCCCCGTTCCTCCACCTGCTCCGAATTAAATTTTGGACGCTTTATATAAAAGTTTAATGAATATGGATAAGTGTACTATACACATGCATTCATACATTCTGAAATACCAAACTGGATTGTACGAAACCAGTCTCGAAATCCAAGATTCCAAGTCCACTTTCAGTATAGGCGTCCGCAGAAACTCAGTGATACCTGAGCTTTACAATTTTGTGACACGTAATATGTAAACCAATAATTATTATAATTAACAATTAACTTACGCTACTTTTTCGAACTCGAATAGTTTCGAGCCAAGCATGGGGCTCATATGTGGGACTGTGCAACGTTAGCCGTATCGTGTACAGCGCAATTGTAAAACTCATGAATATGAGCCCCTGATTTGAAACTAGTTGAATTCTCGTCCGATACATAAGTAACAACAATAACTAGGAAATACTCTACATTCCCGAAGGTAGCATATTAAATGAAAACGGATGATGTAATAGATATACGACAGTATTGGAGCCAGAGTGGTGACGAACAGATCTCAGAATGACCAGTATAATATATTATTATAATTAAAAAATATATAATATTATTATAGTGTGCTAATATTTTATAATTTTAACTGTGCATAATGTAATATTAGTTACATTTAGTTATAACATATAAAATAAATATGAGTTAGTCTGTACGAATTTATAATTTAAATATAAAGTATGTAACTATTAGTCTATTTAATATGGAGTCACACTTATATACGTAAATATTGCTTTTTAGGACGTCGTATATCGGCCTATTGATATATTATACATATACGTTATAGTACGCGCGGGCACTGTCTGTTCTACCACTTTTTCAGAGAAATATGTTACTTGTGGAGTTGCAAATAAAGTACAGAATAGTAGTAGCACGACAGACATTGCCCACGAGTGCTCGCTGTTAGGTTCCGCTTGCCTAAGTAACGATTATTTCTAGTTTATTTTTATAAGGTGCAAATACGTATTTTTGTGCCATAGTAGCGTCGGTCGAACGATGGCATTGAACACTTAGAATTATATATAATTATATAAAAAAAAAGAAAATAAAACTGTCCCATATCTTATTAAAAAATGTGTTCAAAAAAGTTTTTTAGAAGTTGTACCAACATACACGAGTAACATTTAGTATGTGTATATAGTAGTAATTATTTTAATATTAACTGAGAACACTTGGGATGTTATGTATTGTAACATTTTTACCCGTTTATATTGATAGTGCGAGCCACGAATTTTTATATGTAAGCTCACATATTTGTAGGTTTAAGTGGATCGTTCATTTATATTGAAGCTTTGGTGGCGCGGTGGTGCCCACGGAAATATGTGAGCGTTATGTATCGAGTCGCGGGTGGACTGCACTCCTGGATGCCCTCCATCCCCCAACATACTGGTCAAAACCTAAAGTTATAACGTCTGTTTTAAGTAAAATATACATCGTAATTTGTTTTCCTACAGGAAAGTAAGAGTGTGGTCCAACCGAGCATGATTCACAGTCCTTGTGGTTGATTGTGGTTATACATATACATATTATAATAAATGTTCAGATTCCTTTAAAGAAATATTGTGAGTAACATTGGTTCAACATTCCTTTGCCATCGACAAGTATAATTAAATTAATATTAGAAATTTGTTATGATTTATTTATACATAAAATATGTCAAATCTTTTGTGCGCTAACCAAACTGAATCTTCTAAGAGTTATTACGATATTTTTTACAATGCAGGAATAAAGTAAATCAACCAATAAAAACTTACATGTTGTCTTTTAGAGAAAGATGTCAAAATTATAATTTTGTTTAGTGTACAAGATAATTGACGTATTGGTACAGATTGTGTACATCGGTTTCGCTACTTTTGTATTTATTTAGATTTACAAAAATTTAAATTATTTTAAGTATTTTTGTTTTCTTTATACCGAGTGGTAGCGAGACCAACAGTTATTGTTCAATAACTGACAATAAAATCGTATTTATATGCTATTTTTAATTTAAAAGCATTGTACTTTAAGTTCATAGTATACCTGAAATGTGGAGTTGGGATTAATGATTATAAAAATATAGGACTACTGTGGGATACGGGCGCTAAAAAAATCCTATATAATTCTTACAGATCAGATTTTATTAAAAGCTGAAATGCAAATCATCAACACATACTCCCGTATCCCGGAGTAGCAACACTAGGTTAGAAAGTGTCCTGTCCTTTATGTTTTGTTGTAAGCGTTAAGTTGATAGAATATTATATTGTTAATACGCAGTACAGATAACAAATAGTTAGTTTTATACTTTGTCTTAGGACTGCAAACGTCTGGTTCTCTAGGGGCCTTATACATGAACAGTTTTATACAACCTGCTGGACACTTTCACTTAAACAGTACAGAATTTTTAAAGTTTTATTTTTTTACGCATAATTTGATACATACATAATAATGATACATACAGAGGTGCATAGATTTATTTGCCATTAGTTGCCATTTTATATTGTTTGATAGTATTTATTGTTTTCTGTGATAAAAAGAAAGAAAATCCTTTTATTTTTCGAAGATGACAAAATGACGTACTTTGTATTATTTTTTTATAAAATATAGATCCTTCAAATGTGTCGTTGCAAATAATATATATGTATAAATAAAGGTTAATAAACAGATAGATAGTTGATTTGCAAGTTGTACGTACGTAAGTGTAAGATAGGCGATACATTTGAAGTAACTATTGTAATGATACTTTTGTAACGATTAACAACATTAATTTTATAATAACACAGAGCTGGTGCAAGTTGAGCGTACTGTTCTATCGCAAGGACTGACTGAGGCATTGTCACATGTACCACACATAACGGATGAGTAGCTTCGTTTGAGATTTCGCTTACTCCTGCCAGTAATTCACTATATAAAGTGTTCATTATAGGTACACTAAACAAAACAAAATGATTGGAGATGTTTGATCTACCTGGTGATTGTAGTACAAATGTCCGAAGGTCGTGGCAATGCCCGCCTGCACCGCTCACCATAAGTATTTTACTTTATTTCGGTTACTCACTCCGCCTATAAATGATATTAACGCGGCGATATGAAAATTAACTATTTTATTGTAATCACGTTAGCCGTTAATTTAAGAGTAGGATGTTCTACCTCTAAACAAATCATAGTTGATGTACAATATTATAAACTTTTAACAGAATATGATGTTTTATTTCTTCCTTTATACCTCTTCACGAAGTATACGCGGGTAACACCCGCGTCTACCTACTTCGTCTTATACATATCTTCCGTTTATGCAAAAAAGTCTACATAATTAATAAGTTATACTTAGGTAATTTAGGCATTATATATTGAAATTACAATGAGTTTTCTATCTGGATAATAATAAAAACAAATCAAAGGTTTTCAAAAACGGACAGTTTATTTCAGTTTCATTGTTCGATGCTCTACCAACCATTAGAATGATAATGGAACACTGTCGCTTGAGCCAATTGGAAACATGCTTGACACGACACATTTTGAATAGTATATGTAGGCTATAGAAGCTAGAATAATATTTTAGCCGGTGTGAAACATCCTGGTCAGGTGTCCTGGCGGCCTCTTCCACTTGGCGTTGGTTCGTGGCGAACTACGAGGCTGACGAGGTCTTCTTTTTCTGCCAGTTATGTTAGCTAAGGAGGGCGTCGAGAATTTCGCGATACTCTTTGGTCATTTTAGGCGAGGGTCTGAGGAAGTGGATGGTGAATATCTAAGGGTAGTTCGTCACCCGACCAGAACCAAAACAAAGTTTGAGTGTCTATCGTCGAAAACTTTAAAGCTTCTGTCTGCAACACTTTCGCAACTTCAAATAAAGCTCCAATGAAAGAAGCGCTTTACTTTTTGCTAATACCAAACCCGACCAGACCGTCGCTACGTCTGAAGCAGGTACTGCCACGGCATTTCCCCTTAGACCCGATCGTATAAACTAGACCACCAGGCAACTCACATTAAAGTCAAATTCACATCACATGTTGTCAGTCTGTTAATGGCCACCACCCCTGCCAGAGCCAAGCCCAGCCCAAGACGGGTTAGAAGTGACTTGAGAGATGCTATGGCATCCTTACCTTCCACGTGACGCGGATAATTATAGGGCACGGCAGCCTCGGCAGGTCTCTGTTTCGGATCCGGCGGGAGGATACGCCCGAGTGCCTTCATTGTGAGGAGGTTTTTTGCAGCCATCCGAACTTGGTCGGGTTATGTAGGTTTTCGATGCTTCGTCAGTATTATACTTGTTTTTCTTTAATTACTGAATTTAATGACATGAAATTTTGCATGTGAAAAGTTGAATGAATACACTAATTATTGGCATACATTTTACCATGCAATTCATTTAGAAAGTCGTGATATTTGACTGCTTTGTAAACAGTGATCTATTCATGATAAATTTGTCCTATAACTATTTAATTACTAACGGAACATCATTGATACTTGGCAACATGTTGCAGACACTTACAAGGTTTGTATAAACGTGAAAATCTAGACCCCAAAGTGCATACTTTAAGAACTACGACCTAATAAGCGTATTTTACGTTTATATTTTTATCTTTTAAACCCTACGATTTTTTCTAAATCTGTTTTTTAAACAAATATAAACAAATTCAAAACAACGTATATCTCTATCTATCTACAGCTCTCTATGTAAGCGCTTTATATGAAAACTAGCTAATGGCCAAACGTTCGCGTAGCGGAAACTTGAATTTCTCCGAAGTTTATGCATGCACTAGTTTTATTCATACATACACAAATACACACTAATTTTTGGATACATCTCTTTTCTTCTAAAGTCTATAGATTAAAAAAAGTTTCGCCAGGACAACGTTCGCCCAGCGGAATCAGTTTTTGGTGAATTGCTCCACAATGGTTGCGTGCACAATTTTTTTTTTACCATACACAATTATACGACGTCATACACTAAATATCTGCATAATTAAAATCTTTAAATTCAACAACATTCCGCTGCACGAACGCACGCCAAAATATGCGGTATCAATGGTTGTACTTTTGCGTTTTGCGTTTTTGCGTTGACTTAGATTTTTTTTTCACGGTTTAAAGGCAATTAGATCTAAGTACCTATTTGATATGAATTTCAACTTGATAGCTCTACCTACGCGTTCACGAGGAAAAAAGTAATAAGTTTATATTTATTAAAAAATAAATATATATTTTGTAATGTAACTAAAAATTTAAGGTTTTCGGAATTTTTCCTTTATGTGTGCTATAAAACGTTGCGTCATGCCAAATTTCAAGATTATAGGTCGACTGGAAGTACCCTTTAGGTTTTGATTCCCTTGCGAGTACTTGCGAGTTTCAAAATATGCAGCTTAAATTGCTGTTTCTTTTGATTGCGTTGACATAAAAGTTTGATTTTGTTACAGCTTAAAGGTATTATAGACCTGAGTATTTGGTATGAATTTCAATTTAATACCTCTACGCGTTAAGAGGAAATGGCCAGTAAGTTTAAAATTATTAAAAAAATATATAGTGATGTAGCTAAAAATTTATGGTTTTCGTAATTTTTCCTTTATCTATGTTATAAGACGTTGCTTCGTACCAAATTTCAAGATTCTGAGTTCACGGGAAGCACCTTGTAGGTTTTGATTCCCTTGCAAGTGTCGAAAATTTGCGGCATAAACGGCTGTATCTTTTGATTGCGTTGGCTTAGAAATTTGTTTTTTTCACAGCTTCAGGGGACAGTAGACCTGAGTAATTGATATAAATTTCAGCTTCATACCTCCACGCGTTCCTGAGAAAAAGTGTCTTGACAGACGGACGGACGGACGGACAGACGGACAACAAAGTGATCCTATAAGGGTTCCATTTTTTCCTTTTGAGGTACGGAACCCTAAAAATATACCTAATAGCCTAGGGGCGCTGGGTTCATAAACAGTTGCTTACACTGCCAATTGGTAATTCCGTTGGTTGTTATGAAGTCATACATAATGTATAAGTCTAATAATATACAAAATTTAAAGGATTTCAAATCTTTTTATTTTTATTAGCAAAGTTTCCCATCGTCCTTGTCCTTGTGTTACCAGTAACAAAAGATTACGAAGCAAGTTATTTTGACCACATGTCACAAAACACAAGAATAGTATTATTTAGCTGGTCACTTCTGGACCTAATGCTGTGATTACTTAATTAAAATATACCATTATGGGGTTATTCAGAATAGAAACAACAATAGAAATATCAACAACTTTAATGATTGAATATATACAAGAACAATATACATACACAAGTTTAACAATATTATCTGGAGCGGGCACTGGGTGCGGGCAGACGGGACATGTCTCATCGCCACGCGTGGTCTATAACATGAGCAGTACGGTAGCTACAGGATTCTATTATAACAAAAATATACGCAATTTAGACGAAACACATCGCAAGTGAACTTTCTAATACGAAAAATCTAAACAATAAAAATAATTGCAAAATTGACATCTCGCATTCCTAAAAATAAATTTAGATGATCCTCTACCACTTCCTAATTTCCATTGCAAATACAGAATCGATTCGTTGTGATTACAAAATTTTAAATGATAATAGCTTAATAATAAAATAAAACACTACAATTTAGTTAACACTAAAACTAGATACAAACGCTAAATTTTATGAAACAGATAAATGTACTTTTGAAGATAATATACAAGGAGAATAAAATAAAAGCATCCAAATTGCACTCAGGACATGAAATGATAGATGAAGCACCATACCTCAACATTCATTCATTATTGTCGATACGGAGGGGAAGCAGTACCATATATAGCTTTCTGTCAACTGTCAGTTTGTTAGCCGTGCGGTGCAGTGGCTCAGTTACTACGGCACTCAGAACACATCTATCTAAGTTCCAAGCAATGCTTTCTATATTTCTGGAAGATGAAGAAGTATAGTTTAATCCGAACAAGGTATGAAAAGTCCGCAAGCGGCTACTCGCTATTATCGTATTCAAATATATTCCTATATAAAAATATGAAAAAATAAAATAATAATTTAATCGTGTTTAAAATCTAGTGATTCGTCAACCGTGTCAACAAAGAAGCGAGTAAAATTTAAAATATACGTATTCACAGCCCTAACAACACCCATTGGACGTCCCTAATGAAGTCGAAGGATATATTTACAATGTTCAAGAGATTGTCTTGTTTACTGGAACCACTACCCTACATGTATACTGGGGGCGCCTGCAGACTCCCTCGTGTATAACAGTCATAAAATTAATGACGATAATTCAACGACCGTATATCGTAAACAAGACAACATTTATTACTTTTCACGACATTCTTGGCAACACATTTCAAATGTTTGACCAAACATTTGGGCTGTAAGCTGTTAAAATTCATACAAGTTCAGCGGTGCGCTAAGTTCATTATACCTAAATATAAAGTCGGCAAGCCGTAGTTGTTACCATCAACCACTATAACATAAGCTCTCAGTTATTGAGTTAACAGTTTGATCAAACATTAGACACAAGTTAAAATTTAATAGACCTTAAATTCCAACAAATCTTACACGGAGTATGGCCAGAGATCAGTGGGTCGACATTTAATTAGACAAAAAAATTATTGAATAAACAGAAGAGTGGTTAATACATTACAATTTGAATAAATGTAGTGTCGACGGTACATGTGAACTATCTACCTCTGGCCACAGTCCCTTACATTAACATACAGTTAAAACACTAGATAAAATTTACTTCTATAACATATTACTATAATGAAAACAAGTAATAATTTGAATATAATAATATGTACTGCACTTAATTTTCTCTTGTACAATGTGTAAATAACTGTATAAATTCTGATAAGGCATACTGTACGATACATGGTGTATACATTTTGCGAGTACTCCGATCACTACGGGATTACAATACACATTCATTTATTTATACCCAACAATTTATAGCTGAAGCCAATTACGCTCTCCGTAGATCTATTCCTAGTTATTGCTTAATTTTATTTGAAGATATTTTTTATATCACCATGCCTAGGTTCTGGACTATCAAAATTAGGCAATTCAATGTATTTTAATCTTTGAAAAATGTGTATTTAACTATTAGAGCTTAAGAATTTCGAGCGCATGTGATATATTTTAGAAAACATAAGACACAAAAATTTTTCTCTAATTAAAGATCGACAAATAAAAATGTATGGACCAAAATATGGATACAGAGAGAAATTTATGTAAGCGATAGGTTCGTATCACGAGTTTTTCAATATAGAAATTATGCTTTCAACTCGGTTCTAAAGCCAATTTAAAATCAGATCGACCTATATTGCAACATTGGCTTGTCATCCGATGGACAATTATTGTAACAAGTTGGCAACCCACCTGTGACGGCTGTTGGCACTCATGGATCAAATTGGATCTTGAAAATCATGGACAAACTTCACTGTAAAATTTCGCATGTTGGCAAGGGCTACACCTCTTTAATGGCTCCTTATCGTGAATTTTAAGGAGATGCAGAAGCAAATTTTTTTGGTATGCCCTCCACTCTCTTTTGAGTCATAAGGAGTATGACCACAGTACCAGCTCTTGGGCAAGGAGTTTCAAGAAGGATTAAGTTCAGTTCATTCACAGAGTGTGAAAAATCCTTCCAAAAAGTTGGACTTCATAAAATGCCAAGAAGCCTTCCGCTGTACTCGTAGTGAACTACTGTACAAAGCAGAGCTTGCAGAATGACGTGGAACGGGGTGCAACGTGAAGCTCAACTCCAATAACAATAGAGGACTTCTTTGCTCCATATAGGGGAAAGAGGGCGTTAAGTCTAGATGAAAATGAATAATACAATGTGATATTATAAATAAAAGAAAGAGATAATAAAATAATGACACAAAATACTTCTAAATGAAATGACTAAGTTCTCACATGTTTGCTACGCAAGCCGCGACGTTCTCATGCGTGTAATACAACTAGCGCCTAACTCCGGTCAGCGGGAAGCTAAATATAACATTGAATATGAAAATATATATTATCTTGCATACTACAGTACCATTTCATAAATATTATGTAAGACACTATCTGATTGTACGAGGCATTATTTTCTTACTTGTAAAATACGCATTTGTAATTTCCTATAATAAAATTTCATTGAATGTATCTAGTTAATATGTAGGCAATCGATATTATTTGTAAATAACTATAATTTATTAAGATAGCTATTGGCATGGGGGCTAGGCTAGGCTTAATTGACGCGACAATATTTTGTAATCTACTTAATACGTTTCAATATTATTACTCGACCATTTCAGTCACTGTTTATTGCTTGAACCTACGTTTATCATAATCTTAGATGCAATGAAATAGGCTTTACTGCAATATAAACTCTCTATCTCAACGCGAAAAAACTAGTATAAATAACAATATATTGGTGTTCTAATAAAATCACATTGACATAGATAGATTTTCAATGACATTTAAAGTTGTTTCTTTTGAATTCTATACAACTTTTATCATATGACCTTTATAGACAAACAGACAATTTACTTTGTATTTATTGGCGATGATTTAAATAAAATTTATTGCACCTTGTCAAGTCGTGTATCAAATTGGCGAGATTAGTCCTTGATGTTAATTTAGGCAATTGTGTTTACAACTTCAGTATACAGAAAACAAGTCTTTTTAAAATCAAACATCGATAAATTTAGAACTTACATTCTTTTAGGTCGTAACCAAGCTTTATTGATTGGCAAGTAATTACGTTTAATGGTGGCGCATACAATAAAGCACCGTGGTACCTGTGTTTAGAGTTCAAATTGTGACGACATCATTAATATCATGTATTTTTAAACTAGAATTTTTTGTTGCTTTGCTGGCATTATAATAAAAAAATACGTACAAAATGATACTAATGATTTCGCGTGTACAAAAGACTGTATACAGGTACAACTGGTGTTGATGGGACGGTCATACATTTGAGATCACTTGACCGTCGCACCTAGCAATAAAATGCACCACAAATTATGAACATTCTACTGTATAGTAGTTTAATCATCTAGTTAGAATAAATAAGGTTCGTGGAGTAACCCGGGGTCTGCTGAGTGGGGGAATAAATAATAAATAGGAGTTAGTTGTGTCGCGCCGGTAGTGACGTGGGTACAGGTCGAAGGGCCTCAGAGCGAGTCCCGATGCCACACCCAGGTGCGCTTGGTGTGGTCGAACCGATGCGCCAACCACTGCGCCTGCAGTAACTCCAGTCGGTCTTGGCTTAGGTAGAGCGGTTTGCCTCGCCTGTTCGAAAGAATTTAATTACATAACTACATTTATTACAGTTTATTGGTTAAGTAAGAACATGTGGAGTATTTTCTGTATTTCAAAATTTTGTCATTAGTAACACGTAGCCTAAAAATATGCATGTAGAACGGTAAGTAGGCTAACCGGCTATGATATGGACCTCATAACACATTCTCTTCAACCATAACAAACCACCAAAGACTGGCAGCGCTCTTGTAACTCCTTTGGTTTTGCGAATGTCTATGGGTGGCGTCGTTTGCTTACCATCAGATGCCATCTGCTCATTTGTCAACCTATCTCCTATCGAAAAAAACGTCCACACGTTGACTTCTGTCTATCCATAAGAGGATAAAAGGCGTGAGAAAACTAAGTAGATTGATTAATTCAATGAAGGATTTCTTAGTCGAATTAAAGCAAAGTGTAGCTTTGTGTTAAATTAAGGGCTCTGGTTGGACACGAAACTAAACAGGTATGACCAAAAACGTATATCTTACGACATAGTCATTAAAAAAAATGATATGTATATACTGACTTGAGGTCGCGGTCCTCTTCGTCGTAGTCGTCCAGGTAGAGCGAGCCCCAGAGACAGGCGCGGCGGCCGCGGATGACGATGATGTAGGTAGACGTCACCACCAGGAAGATACCCGTGCCGCCGCCACACTCCATCGCGTGCTGCAATACAATGTTACTATTTAATAACTAGATTCCGCAGGCTGCTTCGCCCGCGTGGTATGTTGATTAAAAGTAGCCTATATGACATAGGCGACTTTACATTACGGATTGTATACTATGTCTGTGTCAAATTTCATACTTCTCCTTTCAGCCGTTTTGGTGTGATTGAGTAACAAACATCTAAACATCGTAATTTTCGCATTTATAATATTAGTAAGATAATAATAACCTCGTGCTGCCTGCAGCAGGGCTGCTTGAGACAGACGAGGGTCCGCAGCGCTATGTACAGTAGTGTAGGACAGTACCTGCACGGCCTCCGCCACCTGGTGCTGCCTGCAGCAGGGCTGCTTGAGACAGACGAGGGTCCGCAGCGCTATGTACAGTAGTGTAGGACAGTACCTGCACGGCCTCCGCCACCTGGTGCTGCCTGCAGCAGGGCTGCTTGAGACAGACGAGGGTCCGCAGCGCTATGTACAGTAGTGTAGGACAGTACCTGCACGGCCTCCGCCACCTGGTGCTGCCTGCAGCAGGGCTGCTTGAGACAGACGAGGGTCCGCAGCGCTATGTACAGTAGTGTAGGACAGTACCTGCACGGCCTCCGCCACCTGGTGCTGCTTGAGACAGACGAGGGTCCGCAGCGCTATGTACAGTAGTGTAGGACAGTACCTGCACGGCCTCCGCCACCTGGTGCTGCCTGCAGCAGGGCTGCTTGAGACAGACGAGGGTCCGCAGCGCTATGTACAGTAGTGTAGGACAGTACCTGCACGGCCTCCGCCACCTGGTGCTGCCTGCAGCAGGGCTGCTTGAGACAGACGAGGGTCCGCAGCGCTATGTACAGTAGTGTAGGACAGTACCTGCACGGCCTCCGCCACCTGGTGCTGCTTGAGACAGACGAGGGTCCGCAGCGCTATGTACAGTAGTGTAGGACAGTACCTGCACGGCCTCCGCCACCTGGTGCTGCTTGAGACAGACGAGGGTCCGCAGCGCTATGTACAGTAGTGTAGGACAGTACCTGCACGGCCTCCGCCACCTGGTGCTGCCTGCAGCAGGGCTGCTTGAGACAGACGAGGGTCCGCAGCGCTATGTACAGTAGTGTAGGACAGTACCTGCACGGCCTCCGCCACCTGGTGCTGCTTGAGACAGACGAGGGTCCGCAGCGCTATGTACAGTAGTGTAGGACAGTACCTGCACGGCCTCCGCCACCTGGTGCTGCCTGCAGCAGGGCTGCTTGAGACAGACGAGGGTCCGCAGCGCTATGTACAGTAGTGTAGGACAGTACCTGCACGGCCTCCGCCACCTGGTGCTGCTTGAGACAGACGAGGGTCCGCAGCGCTATGTACAGTAGTGTAGGACAGTACCTGCACGGCCTCCGCCACCTGGTGCTGCTTGAGACAGACGAGGGTCCGCAGCGCTATGTACAGTAGTGTAGGACAGTACCTGCACGGCCTCCGCCACCTGGTGCTGCCTGCAGCAGGGCTGCTTGAGACAGACGAGGGTCCGCAGCGCTATGTACAGTAGTGTAGGACAGTACCTGCACGGCCTCCGCCACCTGGTGCTGCTTGAGACAGACGAGGGTCCGCAGCGCTATGTACAGTAGTGTAGGACAGTACCTGCACGGCCTCCGCCACCTGGTGCTGCTTGAGACAGACGAGGGTCCGCAGCGCTATGTACAGTAGTGTAGGACAGTACCTGCACGGCCTCCGCCACCTGGTGCTGCCTGCAGCAGGGCTGCTTGAGACAGACGAGGGTCCGCAGCGCTATGTACAGTAGTGTAGGACAGTACCTGCACGGCCTCCGCCACCTGGTGCTGCTTGAGACAGACGAGGGTCCGCAGCGCTATGTACAGTAGTGTAGGACAGTACCTGCACGGCCTCCGCCACCTGGTGCTGCTTGAGACAGACGAGGGTCCGCAGCGCTATGTACAGTAGTGTAGGACAGTACCTGCACGGCCTCCGCCACCTGGTGCTGCCTGCAGCAGGGCTGCTTGAGACAGACGAGGGTCCGCAGCGCTATGTACAGTAGTGTAGGACAGTACCTGCACGGCCTCCGCCACCTGGTGCTGCTTGAGACAGACGAGGGTCCGCAGCGCTATGTACAGTAGTGTAGGACAGTACCTGCACGGCCTCCGCCACCTGGTGCTGCTTGAGACAGACGAGGGTCCGCAGCGCTATGTACAGTAGTGTAGGACAGTACCTGCACGGCCTCCGCCACCTGGTGCTGCCTGCAGCAGGGCTGCTTGAGACAGACGAGGGTCCGCAGCGCTATGTACAGTAGTGTAGGACAGTACCTGCACGGCCTCCGCCACCTGGTGCTGCTTGAGACAGACGAGGGTCCGCAGCGCTATGTACAGTAGTGTAGGACAGTACCTGCACGGCCTCCGCCACCTGGTGCTGCTTGAGACAGACGAGGGTCCGCAGCGCTATGTACAGTAGTGTAGGACAGTACCTGCACGGCCTCCGCCACCTGGTGCTGCTTGAGACAGACGAGGGTCCGCAGCGCTATGTACAGTAGTGTAGGACAGTACCTGCACGGCCTCCGCCACCTGGTGCTGCTTGAGACAGACGAGGGTCCGCAGCGCTATGTACAGTAGTGTAGGACAGTACCTGCACGGCCTCCGCCACCTGGTGCTGCCTGCAGCAGGGCTGCTTGAGACAGACGAGGGTCCCGCAGAGCAGACAGACGCTGGCCTCCTTGGGCACGGCGCCGCACTGCAGGCACACGCGCTCGTGGTAGTACGTGAACAGCCGGTCGTAGTCCCGCGGCAGCGCCAGCAGGGCCGGCTGGCACCACTCCACCGCCATCGACCGCAGCAGGCGCCGGATCTGTACGGACAGACGACACGTGCTTAATGCGGAGGTCGCAAGGTGGAGTAGTATAGAGAGTAGTGGGCAGTGCACTCACGGCCAGCTGGCCGCGTGAGGCGGCGGCGCCGAGCTGGCGGGCCCAGGCGCGCGCGGCGGCGGCGGAGTCGGGGCAGAGCGCGCGGCCGGCGGACCACTCGCTCCACTCCATGCCGTCCGTCACCAGCTCCAGGTAGTACGCCAGCCGCACGAACTCCTGGCGCGGCGTCGACACCTCCGGCAGCTCGCTGCCGTACAGGTGGTGCCGGAGCAACGCCGCGATGCGCAGGAACGGCAGCAGGAGGTCTTGCACCTGTACACAGGGGGATATTATTATGTTGTGCGTGGTAGTACAAGTATTTTAAGATGATATAATTTCTGATTAAATTTTCTTATCCAAGTCTTCATCATTTTTAAATTGTAAATCGTATAATATACCTGTTTCTCCATGGCGTGTAAGTCAGGCAGGTCGTGCGGGCCGGGCGCGGGCGGGCCGTCCTCCGTGAAGAGGTCGGAGCCGGCGAGCGCGGCTAGCAACAGGCGCGCGGCGGGGCGCAGGCCGGCCGGCTCCCCGGCGCGCGCGGGCGCCAGCAGCGCGGCGCGGCCCTCCGCACTGTACCCCGCTATCAGCTGGCACACCACCTGGTAGTAGCTCAGCGAGTACAGCACCCGCACTATGCACGTGAACTCCTCTGTAGACCACAAACACTTGCGTTTAGTAAGGGCGGAATAGCTACCAACAAGGTAACTGCTGTGTAGTACAAGATACGGACCCATTTCCAAGTAGGGCGGTGTGGGCGGCGCGAGCAGTAGGAAGTGCATGAGCAGCGCCAGCGGGTCCCGCAGCAAGAGCGGCACGGGCCGCGCGGCGGGCGCCCCCGACAGCACGGCGGCGCCGGCGGGCCCGGCCGCCTCGTCCCCGGGCGCCAGCAGACGCCAGGCGTCGGCGGCGCCGAAGCCGGCCCCCGCGCTGGCCAGCACGCGGGAGTGCGCGCCCGCCACCACCAGCAGTGGCACTGTACACACATTACTCATTCAAGCTTTAATCCTAAGGGATTACACGTACGCTAGGATCACCCACGCACGGATAAATAACAAAATCCATAAAATTATCGACAATCTAATTAGGTACTGTCAGCATCAAAAGTTGATCACATTATAATTTTCGAAACCGCTGTACATCGTTTTACATGTAAATTGCTCACCATGACAAGACAAAATAATGATTATCATAAAACGACATAAATAGGTGAATAGAATAGAATAGAATAGAATAGAATTCTTTATTTGCAAAGAATGTAGGTACAAATTATTTGGTGTTACACAGTTTTAAGGTAAGGAACCTTAAAACTGTGTAACACCAAATAATTTGTACATTCTACCATAATTGGCATGCAAATTTATATAAAAGAAATTAAAAATAAAAATTAAAAAACTAAAATTAAAAAATTAAAACTAAAAACATAAATTAAAACTTATCATCCAAAAATTCTTGAACTGAATAATAACACTTGCGCAAAAGTAATTCTGTAACGTGCTTTTTAAATTTTGTTAGTGGTTGTTCCTTTACAATATTCGGTAGCTTATTATAAACAAGTGGCGCCATACAAATAACGCTTTTTCTTAAAAGTGTTGTTTTGAAAACACCCGTGCTTAACATATCTTTGTATTGGGATCTAATACTTATTGTTCTATTTCGAGTTTCCTTCAAGCTTGTAAACAGGTGTGAGTTTGTTTTAACAAATATACATAATTCAAATATATAAAGACATGGGAAGGTTAATAGTTTATGAGACTTAAATATAGGTAGACAGCTGTCAGTTACTTTTAGGTCAAAAATAGCTCTGATGCAGCGTTTTTGAGCTTTAAAAATACTCTCTTTCTCGCTGCAGTTGCCCCAGAATATTACACCGAACCTTAAAAGTGAAATAACTAGTCCGTGATAGGCAACCAACACGCTAGGCAGGTCCACTTTTTTGGACAAATTGTGCAACATGAAAGCAGATGTACTTAACCTCTTACAAATACTCTCTGCTTGAGCCTTCCATGTGAGTCGGCTATCAATGAGTATACCCAAAAATTTTGCAACATCTACTGTGCCAACAGCTTGGCCATTGTGGTTTATATTCATGGTATTAGGAGGGACTCTTTGGTAAAAATGCATAACTTTAGTCTTTTGAAGATTTATTATTAAATTATTGTGGTTTAACCAAATTATTAGAGAACTAAGATTGTTATTAATGTCTTGTTCATAATTTTGTTTATTGGTACATTTTATTAAAGACGTACTGTCATCGGCAAATAATACCATTGGATTAGGTGTTTGGCGGGGGAGGTCGTTTATATACAATAAAAACAGTAAAGGGCCAAGAACGCTACCCTGAGGCACGCCATATTTTATTAATTTATATGAAGATCTGTATTTTAATTCCTTTTTTGTTTTTAGACATATTCTAGATACCTCAGTACATTGTCTGCGACCGTATAAATACGACTTTATCAAATTCAGTGCGTTTCCTCGAATGCCGTATGCTTCAAGTTTTTTTATAAGGATATCGTGATTAACATAGTCAAACGCTTTGGACATATCTGCATAGATTGCACATATGGGTGTCTTAACATCTACAATAGGCAGTATTTTGAAAAGGAAATCGTAAATTGCCATATTAATATTTTTATTTTTTCTAAAGCCCTTCTGTTCTTCGCATAAAATATCGTATCGATCTAAAAATGTGTAAAGTCTTTCATAGATAACTTTTTCAATTAATTTTGATAAAACAGGTATCAAAGTAATGGGTCTGTAGTTTGACATAGTTTCTTTGCAGTTCTTTTTAAAAAGAGGTTTCACAATAACTGTTTTGAGGCTTTCTGGAAATATTCCGCTGTAAATGCTCACGTTAATTATATGTGCTAGAGGAGAAGCTATGCAGTCAGAAACAGATTTAATAACTTTAGTAGAAATCCCGTCGTAGCCAACACTCTTTTTGTTTTTTAAAGATTTCACAATACGGATAACATCTTGGGGGACTACTGGTTGCATAAAAATTGAATGGGAATTGCTGTTTATATTTATTGGGTTATTTGAAGATGTGGGTTTTTCTAAAACTTGGTCAATAAAGTAATTGTTGAATGACTCAGCTATTTCTTTTGGATTAGTTATATATTTTTCTCCTTTTTTTTATATGTGTAATAGGTTCACTTGTTTTTTTTGAATTATTTATAACTTGCCATGTTGTTTTACATTTATTACTAGAGTTATTGATTAGATAATTATTTTGAGCTTTTTGAGTCAGTCTGATAATTTTTTTAAATCTTTTTGAATAGTTTTTAAATGTAACTTTGTTTTCAAGTGTGGGTTTTATTCTTTGTTGCCAGAGTAATTTTCGCTGTCTTTTGCTGCATATACGTATGCCTCGGGATAACCACTTAATCCTTTTTTCAGTTTTTATTGTCACTATTTTATAGGGAAAACATAAATCATGTAAAAGTAGAAATATTTCTAGGAAATTGTCATAGGACTTATTAGGATCTTCAGTGGCATATACATCAGAAAATGATAAACTCTGAAGATAGGATTTAAATTTCATTAGGTTTTCAGCAGAATCATCGCGTCTTAACGTTTTCCAATATTTAATCTGACACGACTTAATGACTTTCACCTTTAATATTTGGGCTGTATGGTCTGATAAGCCGAAATCTATTACCTCCGATTGATAATTATGTTTACAGTTGTGGGCAAAGTTGTCCAAGCAAGTATTACTGCTGAAGCGAGTTGGTTGATTAATTTCTAGCTTTAGGTTGTAACTTGTAAGAAAGCATTCGAAGTCTAACGTAATCCTATTGTTTTTTAATATGTCTATATTAAAGTCTCCGCATAATATAACTTTTACACTTTTCCTTAAACATATTCTTTTTAACACAATATCTAAATTTTCATAGAATTTGCTCAGGTTACATAACTTTGGCGGTCTATAGACACATACAACTATTAATTTTTGAAAAGGTAATTCAATAGCACAACATTCTATAACTCCAGGAATCGAACATCTCATTATGTCAGGTAGTTCTTTGTAAGCTAAATGGTTTTTAACTAAGATGCAGGCTCCGCCGCGTTTCTTGTTAGGCCGAGCATAACATGCCGCTAACTCATAGTTTGGAATAAGCAATAATTCTTCCTGTCCAGACATTATGAAATGTTCGGTAATACATATAATATCTACAGAAATATATTTTTTTAACAGTTCCTGAATATGAATTGTGAGAAGGTCTGTTTTATTAATGAGTCCGGCTATATTTTGATGTAGTACGTTTATATAATCAAAGAAAAAAATCACTAATTGGAGAACTATTTTCTGTACTAGTTAACAGGTTTTCAGAATAAGTAGGGAAGCCATTTATAATGGTCAGTAGATTTTCAAAAATATTCCTCATACCGTGATTGTTAACTTTCCTACTATACTTAGAAAACATGCTATAATCATATAATAAGTCTAAATTAGAGTCTAATACAGTTACGTAATCATAAGTTACTAAATCGAGATGCAATAAATTATTGAAAGTTTCTATCCGCCAATTGAACATTGTTGAGTAGTTACTTAGTTTAAAAGTTGGGACACATAATATAACGTTTGTAAAATTTATTTTTTTAATCGTTTCCCTAAATTCTATTACTATATTGACATAATTTTTGGTAGTTTGGAAGTCTTCCTCTCCAATCATAATTACGCAAAAGTCTTGCATTGTGTAGTTGTCCAATTTTTTATCCAAGTTATTGATAAGCTGTACTGTTCCGCAGTTAGGAGACACATAATGACATACTTGGAAATTTTGGAATGTCTCTTCAGCTATCGATAGAATTTTATTCCTTTTATTAGTACTGACGATACATATTTTGTTTCTTGTGCGTGTGGGTTTTATGTTGCTATCACTTTGTTTATGTGCTTTTTGTTCCATTGTTGCTGGTTGTGTTTTTGAGGGTTTGTTGACAATAGGGGTAGTAATGGTTGGTTCATGAAAATTTAAAGTAGATGATATACTTGATTTTTTATTCCGAGACCCTTTACAACGAGGAGTTGATAACTTAGAATTTGTATTTGGAGTGCCTATATATCCTGAGTCAATTTCCTCGTAGCTTTTTTTAGGAGCTCATGTTTGGAATTCATATCACTTATTGTATTTTTAAGTTCACTGTTTTCGATGGATAAGTTATTAATTTCTTCATGCGCAGAGTTTAATTGCATGTTCAATTCTTCAATTTTTTGTTTTAGTTCCATTATTTGTAGTACAGATTCTTCGGCAGATATGTTTGGTAGACTGTTAGAGGTGCCATCTAGTGTCGTATTGATTGAACTGTTCTCGTCATCGCATGATAACTCTGTTGATTTCGTACGTGTCTTTGGTGTCTTTCTAAATGTAATGTTTTCGAAGAAATTCATTGTAATAAATTGTCCAAATAAATTACAAAAACTTCTAAAAGAACTTCCGTTAGTGAGGATCGATCCCGGGATTAATCGATTACAACCGCACCTTACGCCGCTAGGCCAAATGCTCAGTTAATTTACTGTGTGAAATTTGACTTCCCTTTCTAGTAGATGCTAAATTTGAATTGACCGTTTTTTTTTTCTATTGATCATAACACAAAGGATTCTTTGCACAATTTATATAGGTTTGGATTCACTTTAGTAACGAAAGTTTTGATTGTTTTTAATAGGTTTATTTGACCATAACCATATCACTATGACCATATTATTATTAAGTGATAGTTGGAATAAAGTTTATTTTCAAAGAGATGTTGCATTTATATTTTATTACGTATAACTTCACTGATTCTGTTTATATTTACTGGATAACAATGTTACACAATAATTAGTGTCTGTTCTCACTTTTAAACATAAACAATGCACTAAAGATGAACTTTTACTATTTTTACAATTAAAATAATACGGAGCTACTTGTTAATGTTGGCCACAGCGCCATCTATCTCGCAAGTAAGGTGACCATCGTCGACCATCGTCGCTCAGTAAGGTGACCATTACTTTACAAAAGTTATAGCACTGGCCATATCTTGTTGAGTGATTTATGAATGATATTATAGTGTGTATAAAATCGGAATGTAACCATCGACTTTTGATGCTAACTGTACATCAGTAAGTTGCTTGCTAAATATGGAGGTGAATATTTCAGTAAGCTAACACACTAACGGGAAATGCCATGTATTATCACGATAATGGACGTTAATCGTAGGTGTAATTTGATCAGTAAACAAATGCCATTAACTATCGTGATGGTGGCCCTAGCATTAGAAAGAGTGTGACGAACCGATGCACTCGTTGCGCAGCTTGTACCGCGGCGCGACGCAGGTCTGCAGCGTGCCGCCGCGCTGTACCAGCTCGCACTCGAGGTTGGTGCGCACCAGCGACGCCACGAACGTGAAGATGGCGGCTGGCGACGACCCGTAGCGCTGCTTCAGCTTGCCGCCCGCCGTCGCCGTCATGTCCTCCATCGCCTTGCCCATCGCCTCCGACAGACGACTCGGCGCCTGACAAATGTGGAATGCTGTTTTAAACTGTCCTGTTAAGTTCTTCTCTGACGTCAGAGATTGACTGTCCTACAAGTGGGTGGTTCAGACTACGAGCTGTCACAGATTTGAACAAGACATAGGAGTTTCAGAAGACGTCCCAACGCCATGTGGTTATGCGGCACGGCTGAATGCTACTGTGGATATGCTATGGGAAAACTCGAGAGCATATTTTATGGTATTGCACACTGAACGGTGAGGAGCTAGAGAGTTGTTGTGGGACTGGCATAAGACAAACGCAAGCCTGGTATATCATCAGGACCTGGTGTGGAGCGAGAAAGGATTTCGAAGACAGAGCATTCGCTCACAAATGGCACAGAAAGAGGAAGGACTTGGAAATGTGATAATTAAACTGGTTCGAGCGTGAAGTACTGTTACTATGGTTTGTATGATGAGAGGGACAAGGATATAAATATTTGAGGAGTCAAGATCATACACGTTGTGGGTAAGAAAGTGAAGAAAGTGTGGGCGGGGAAGCGGAGGGATTGTCGCGATGAGAGTGCGTACCGGCGGCGGATGGTCCTGGTCGAGCAGCGCCTGCAGATGGGCGGCGACGGCGCGCAGCGGGCGCGGCGGGCGGGGCGGGGGGCGCGCGGGGCGCGGCGCCAGCGGCAGCACGCAGTTGGCGAGCTGGCGGCAGACGGGGCAGAGGAACTCGCCGCGCTCGACGTGCAGGTTGTGCGGGCGCTGCGGCGCGGCCAGCGCGCGCAGGTAGGCCGCCAGGCAGCGCAGGTGCAGGTGGTGCCCGCACGACGCCACGTGCACGCCGCCCTCCCACCCCACGCACACCGACACCAGCCACGACTCCTGCACAACATACTCTTACCTCGTACTACATTCTATACCACATACACTTCATCGTCTATACTAATTTTCATCATTTTTTTTTTCAAACAATATTTATTTTAGAATCAACTTAAAACAAAGTTACTTATATATTTTAGTATGGATTTATTGGAAAAAGAATGGTATATTCAAGCTCCGTGGGGAACTAAACTTAGTCCAATAATTTTACCCTTTAGAGTGGGGTCATGCACCTACGATGAAATAAGCTTAAGCAAAAGCAACTTATTCATTCGGACTTTTGATAACACCTAGTTTACACTCTACAGAGTATAAAAACTCTGACAAAAAATTAAACTCTTAAATTAATTTTGATATAACGTTAACCACGTTTTTACATGACAATCGGGATATTCACCACAAAACGATAAGTTTTGGCTGATTATCTAGTGGTAAGTTAATAAAAATGACTGTAAGTGAATAGTTTTGTAAATTAAATAGAAAAGGGTTCTATACATAGAATTCAAAAAATATATACTACAGATTAGCTAGCAACTTTTCCAAAATATGTCATGTGAGATGAGCATTATAACGTAAGTGAGCAGAATGTGTACCTGGTCGAAGTGTTGGTGCAGGTCGTCGTGCAGACGGTAGTGGTGCGCGGCGGCCGTGGAGTCGTGCTGCGCCTGCAGCCGCGCCCGCTCCGCCTCGGACAGCGCCAGCCGCGCGTCGCCGCCGCCCGCGCGCCGCCGGTGGCCCAGCACCGACGTCGACTGCACGCAAACCACACACTATACTATCACGCATTCTTATTGCACCTAACCTCTTACTACTACCTTTTTTGTAGGAACAAAATCACGAAACGACTTCTCCCACCTACTACGATAGACTGGAAAAACACCCTGTTCCTTTTTGTGCGCTTGCCCCCCCGACTGAACATACAACCTATAGAAAACCCTATACAAAATGCCATTAGACCGCCACAGGCGGGGTCTAATGGCATTTTGATGCGCGCGACACGCTTCGAGCCTTACGCTCGGCTCTAGTCCTGGCCTCTATTATCGAGGTTGCCGTTATGCATGAGAAACACATAAGAGTGCGGGTCCAAAACTTAATAAGCTTTGTGACTTTATTAAGACATACCTACTACTACTCAAGTATGATAAAGGAAAACGTCGTGAAGAAACCCTAAACCTATAATTACCTATTATAATCATACTTTAGCACTAATCACTATCTATACTTGCAATTTTTACCCATGTGAGAGGAAACCTTTGCTCAGCACTCACTTCATAGCTGATAAGGCACTTGCTAAAACAGCAAACCTCCACAAATATACATACAAGAGGATCACAGGTTGATCGCCTAACTAATCCAGGAGTTAAAACAGAATAGTTTTTAGTCTAACTTTTTTTCTTTTAACACTCAATCATTTATTACTTTTCGCAATGTATTTCTAAGGTGGTAAATTATAAAATAATGAAATCATCATGAACACTGTCTCTCTTATACTACAATCTTAACACTCCTCGTGTTAAAGTGGACAAATTTTGATATAATAAGTGTGTAAAATACCTGCAGTAATACAACTAATCCGATGGGGTCAGCAGGCGTGGTTGGCGCGGTGGTGTTACAGATGACGCAGTCGTAGTCCTTGGGCAGCGCGTCCTCGTCCCAGTCCATGGCGCCGGGCTCGTCCAGCCCGTGCATGGACGACATGAACTGTTGCTGCCGCCGCTGGAAGTCCCGCATTACCTGCGCCTGGCGCTCCCGGGCGCGACGGGACCGCTCTTCCTTTTCCCGGCGTTCTCTGTGTATCAAGTTTCTTGTATAAGATTTGGTTTATAATTGACCCAATAGGCCTTTATATGAAGTGTTGGAAAGCGATGCTTTGAAACGAATGGGTCGCCTCGACTGGAGTGAGGTTACGGCCTCATAGAAAACCAGCGTGAAACAACCACGACGATGTATTTCGCCGTGTGAGTGAGATTATCGGAGACCTAATACTTCCCCTGCCCCAATGCCAAAATAGTCAAATCTCTAATTCTTAAAAGGTCGGCAACGCACTCGGAGGTCCTTCGTTGTTGCAGGTGTCGATGGGCAGCGCTGATTGCTTACCTTCTGGAAATCCGTTTCCTCGTGAATCGTTGTTACATCACATAAAAAAATTGTTTTTGTCACTTTTTTCTTTTTCTTTCGAGGTAGTAAAACCTTACGATCAGGCTAGCAAAGGAAAGATTAAATTTGTGACTTAGAATTTTGATCTTGAATTCGGAAAAGCAAGATATGCTATACATCAGAGGTCTTCTGAAGACCATGTAGACAGAAGTTAGGGGCTACTTTGCGATGTTTTTTAGCTTAAGCCGGGTTTTTACAGTAAGAGTTGGCTCGGATCGAGTGCAGTACGAATCAGCTTCGTACGAGTGTACACGGATGTCGGTTTATTGTCGCTATATTGTTTGCATAAAAATGATCCACAGGGTACATTCAAATGATCTGAGTGAGCTCGAAAAATAGAGCAGAGTCCGAGTCTACTTGGATTAGACGTCGGCGTCCGAGTGCGCTCGGATTACGTGTTTACATGATACGAGTAGTATCCGAGTAGACATCCGAGTGCATTCGGTCCGAGCCAACTCTTACTGTGAAAACCCGGCTTTAGTATAGGGGTGGTAAATAAGCAGTTTGAATGAGTGAGTATATGGTCGGAGGTTTGAGTACCTGGCGCGTTGCTCGGCCTGCCTCTCGCGCTGGTGCGGCCAGAGCGAGTGGCGGACGTGGGCGATGGCGGCGCCGCAGCGCGCGTCCAGCGCCGCCAGCTTGCGGAGCACGCTGCCGATGAAGTACGGCCCGTCACCTGGACAACATTATACTTACTGTTACCAGATGGTAATATGGTATACTACAACTATTTATCGGTAAAAGTGTGGCTAAATACGTTGATAAACGCTAATCTCGAGAATAACTGAACCAATTTTGATAGGTTTTTATCTTGCCATGTTTGTTACTTAGGAAAAGGTTCTAATGAGAATAAAACAACCAAAATAGGGCAGAGTTAGTAGGTAGGTAGGTAAGTAAGTTAGACAGGTAGAAAGGTCAGAGAAACGGACAGTGAGGCAGATTACGATAGAGTCAGATAGACCAGGACCCAGGAGCCGAGTCCAAAATCTAAATCAAAGAGACGCAACTAGTTATAAAATAAAATTAAACTGAAGTAAACAATACTATAAAGCAAATAATTATAATATGCAACAACGTAACAGGTTAACTAGCTAACTCGACTAGTTTCAAGCCTCACCAGGGAGTCATATGTATAGGCATAATTTTACGACTTTCGCCTCGTTGGTAGTATGATATTACCCTTATGGGTATTTAACAAAAAATTCCCTTACCGATGGGTTCCTGTGTGTCTGGCGCGGGTTCATCCAGTGAGAACGAGTCGAGTCGGCCGGACAGTTGCGAGTGCAACTTGAGAAGCAACGATATTATGGACTCGTTCACTGGGATCGTGTCTTCTGATTGCGTGTGTAGTTGTACCTGTAAGCACATTGTAATTTAATGTTCTTCTATATTATAGATATTATGAAATGCTCGTTAACGAATTTAAAGTTAGCTAATTCTGTCTAGAATTTGTTACTTTTTATTGATAAACGGGCAGACGGACTTAATAGGTAGAATTCGCTTTACCTGTGGTATTGGCATCTTTTCGCCAACGACCCATGCAAAAACATTGTCATCCCCATCATACAGATGGCAAAACTTGCTGCCTCGCACAGCAAAACTTTGGAATGATCTTTCGGTGACAGTATTTCCAAATCGATACAACCTTCCAACCGTAAAGAAATGTGAGTACTCCTTTTTAAAAGACCAGCAATGTGCCTGTGACTCCTCTGGTGTTGCAGAAGTCCAAAAGGGCGGCGCAAAGCACTTACCATCACGTCTGCTCGTTTGCCTCCTATTCGATAAAAAGTGTGGGATTTGGGGGTGGAGGTATATGTAGTGTACCTGCTTGCTGGTGGAGGGGCGGCAATGCTGCGGCGAGGGCGCGGGCAGCGACGCGGCGGGCAGCGCGGCCGGCAGCGCGGCCTGCAGCGCCGGCGCCGCCAGCGCGCCCTGCGCACCGCGCACCGACACGCTCCATTCCTCGCCTGACATGTCTGCCCACACACACACTGGATTAATCATACGCTGGGAGGGGTACGTCTCCCGTTTGCAACGTAAAGAATTCTGTTGGTACTGAATAGTTATAAATCTGAACTCTCAAGCCTCATTTCCGGGAGATGCAGCGCTTCGTGCGTACTTTGTTTCCGCGAAAGTTAAAACGCCCCACTGATCCGCACGCAACACAAACGCACGAAGCGTCAGATTTCCTAAAACCTAACACGACTGACGTGGCAAAGTCAAAAGCCAAAAACACTTCATCATCATCATCAGCCTGATGTCGTCCACTGCTGGACATAGGCCTCCCCAATTGCACGCCACTGAGGTCGATGTTCAGCTCTTTTCATCCAACCACTGCCAGTTTTAAAACGTCAAAATAGAATAGTAGTCTGTCAGTTGGTTCGTCGGTGAAGCTAGGCGCTCATGTGTCGATGTGGCAAATGTACGTAGGTAGACCTTTACGAACAAATGGTTGTATAGATTAGATTTAAAGTACTAACGCTTACCATATTCAATAGGTACAGGGGGCGTGTCCAGGTCGGATGAGGAGGCGATGGCAAGACTCATCTCTTCGTCGAATGTCTGTAGCGCTAACGCTTGACTCTCGTCCGTTACATCCTGTATAATATAAAAAATACTATAAATTCTGTATGACTTACTCGGTGCCTATTGACAATTCAATGTTTAAGGATATATTACGAACACGAAGCGTTTATATCGTACCTCTAGTGCTCGTATCTGGGGCGCGTCACCGCCGCCATCTGATTGGTCATCTGTCATAGAGTCACCGCGGGCCATCTGCGGGTCAAGTAACACAGTTTGAGAATAGTTGGGTAATTGTTTACATAAGTTTTACCAAAAGAGACGCAAAAAGGGGTGTGTTATAAGTTTGACGTGTCTGTCTGTCTGTCTGTCTGTGGCATCATAGCTCCTGAACGGATGAAACGATTTCAATTAAGTTTTTTTTTTGTATTATATACTTTTTAAAGGTAGCATAAGGTTCTTTTATCGGTTTTTTTTTAATTTTTAATTTAAGTATTTAATTATTGTCGTAATAATAATATTTGAAGGAGACTCGGGGGAAGGATGTGTCTCAATAAGGTGCTGGTAGGGGTCTTGACCGTACTTCCGGGATTGCTCTGATAGCCGTGGGATGCCTCTCCTTCCCCAAGCAGCTCAACGTATGTTGCCTCCGTGTCGCTACATGCTAGCGGCCGTTTCCGGGGGCCCATTAATTGAGTTTGCCAGTCACCCCCTGCCTGTTTATCCGTATGTATCAATATTGGTCAGGGGCAGGGGCCATAGTATTTCCACAGTTATCATATCCACCAGTCCATAGCAACCCATACCTATAACCCTATAAATTTTTACAACATTGCACAATAGTCCTGAATCAACCGGGGATTGTCCTTGGGTGCACTTTTATAGTGCATACAGGGATAATTGCCGGCTGATGTCCCATCACATTCAGATTAAAACTGTTCAAAGGGCCTCTGCGAGTTGGCTTCGTCCCGTGAAAGGAAAGAACAAACAAAATAATTATAAGTCGGGAGTGTTACCTGTAATGACGTGGGTACAGCTAGTGCAGTGCTGGTGGCGGGCAGTGACGTCGACGTAGTGAGGATTGGTATTCGTGTGGTCTCTGTCTCGGACGGCTCCCACTCCGTGTCACCTGCAGCAACAGAACAGTGGTGAGTGCGGGGCCGGGCCACGAGCGGGGCGGGCGGTGGCGGGCGCGGGCTTACTGTCGGAGTGGTGGTGCGGCGTGTAGTGCGCGGGGAAGGCGTGCGGCGGGGCGGGGCGGGCGCGCGCGGGCACGCTGGCGACGACGGTGCGCGCGTTGTCGCAGACGGCGGCGCCGGCGAAGGCGCCCAGCAGCGGCACGCCGGCCACGGCGGCGCGCGCCGGCTCGGCCACGGCCACGTCGCCCAGGCAGCGCTGCGCGCGCTCGGCCTGCAGGTCGGCGGCCACGGCCAGCAGGTAGACGGCCAGCGCCAGCACGTGGTCGGGCGGCGCGTGCGGCGCGGCGGCGTCGGGCGCGCGCCGGTGCACGCCGCGGTGCAGCACGGCCAGCAGCGCGCCGTGCAGCACGCCGGACGCGCACAGCGCGCGCGGGTCGCCCGCGCCGTCCGCGCCGCCCGCCGGCGGGCCCGCGCGCCGCAGCGGGGGCCACAGCACGCCGCTCGCCCGCGACGTGCTCTCCGCCGTGCCCTCCGTCTTCTGCTTCTCACGCACGCTAAACGGTACAACAAAACGTGTCACACGGACCGCACGACTCGCGGATCGACTAATTCAGAACACGGCGATAACAATACTTGGCACTCACTAAGCAGTGAACCGCTCCATGGACGCGTGGAAGTCCCTCCGGTGCACAGCTCGGCGCAAAACGTGCAGTGGGTCGTAGTACTGCTCCCATACGATAGGCTTTGGCACAAACAGTCCTTGCTCCAAGTTCTCAGAGCCTTTTGGCGGTGGACGGTATGTTGACAACTATGCAACAAAAACACATAATATCAAACTATATACAATGAGAACAGAATACTAACTTTAAAAGTTCATATTTTACATATTTACAATTACATATTTTAACATAAACAAACTTGAATATGAAAAAAAATATAAACTCACCTCTTTGAGAACAGTTTCAAAATTCCTAGTATGCGCATTACCGGATCTCTCCGGCATCAGCTCAAGTAGTTGCGAATGCGTCTTGTCGCCCGCGGCCAGCAACGTACTGACTTCAAGCCGCGACTGTGTAAGCTCGTCATTACCTGTACCAAATCATACAATCCAAGATAAACTACCTTTCCTAATATGTAAATATAACATACTGTTGCGACTTTAAACCCTTGACTCCTCTCACGGAATATTGTGTTATCATAGAAGACTAGAAATCTATGATTAGTTAAATCGCTTTCTGTCCTGTGTACAGAAATACATATACCTTACATTCGGTTTGTGTACATGTAATTAAATATTGGGCTGTATAAGCTCACCAAGATTAGTTCTAGAAGACACTAGTATTGCGAGGAAGGTGAGCAGGCCTTCGACCATGGCGTCTTGCTCCGCAGCCTGGGCAGGCGACATCGGCATCATACTCAGCCACTCGCGGCATCCAAACCTGCGAACAAATTGATAACATTATAATACATTGTTTGAACTTATATGACTCTTTATATAGAATAAGCTTGTTTTGATGACTCGAAAATTCTGAAAGATTAACATGTTTTGTTTTTTTTTCTGGGTGTTAGTAGAGCATTCCAATGTCTAAGCCGGTACAAGAGGAAGTTTCAGACTCTTACTGACTAAAAAATCACCCCATACTCTCTCATGTTTGGTCCGAGGCCGCGGTGCATTACTAAGCTTACCCCGCAACCCACGTGTGTGAAGAGTGCATTATCTGGCAGTTTACTTCCATCGATAAAAAATAACAAAAAGGCCCGAATACATTATGAAATTGAAAAGACTAGATATAAAACAGATCACAAGTCTGCCTTATGTTGTGGAAAAGCTGCTTAGCTCATATTTATTTAAGATATTTATGTAAAGCCATTTATAACAATGAGGACCTCACATAATTGTATGTTTATCTTCATATTATATTTGAGTTATAAAGTCAACTTCAAACTATCGGGACATCCCAACATAAGAAGTGAAAATGTTGCCATTCTAACATTGATCGATGATATGAAAATTGCCAACCCGAAGCAAGTTAGAATAAGAATAGAAAAACACGTCAAATTTTATAAGCAACATAATAAATAATTGAATGAATTTAAGTAACAAAAAAATACTCATGGTTGTTTAAGCTGTCTCGACTTATTTTTAATTTATTGTTTTTAGACTGGAAAGACGCATACATCTTGATGTAGAAAGACGACGTGTACGGTGCATAACCAACCTAAAGTTGATACATCCTGGGAGTAAGGTCAACAAAATATAAAGGCGACGGGACCCCAAAGTAGGACCCTACCATTCTTAAAATAGAATGATTCATGAAATGAAATTATAAAAACACATTGTATGTGCTTATTATACATATTATTTAACGAATGTGGTAAAGAACAATACGATGTTGTGTGATAATAATTACAATTACAATGAAAAAAAACAAACCATCTTTGTATGGCTTTAGTTTTGTTATTAACGGGAACGTGAACAGTTGTTGTTTTATGGTATAACTTTTGATAAATATAAAGAAGTGTTCCACTTCTTCGCTAGATTAGCTAGGACATATCTATAAACAGGCATTTAAGTAATGTTTAAATTGTTTATTTCGTGTTTCTGTATAACGCTTTTTCTGTCACGTATTTTTGACGTTGGCGTCCAGGGTTAAATTTCGCTTGTCACATATATGTGACAACGGCGCTTAAAAGGTTAAGGATATGATCCAACTAGGTAACTGTGATCTAACTAAAATGCAGGATATCATGTTAAAAGGAGAGGTCATAAAGCTAATGACTTACATATCGATGCACATGTCGAGAAACTGGTCGGCTGGTAGATGCGCAGCGCACACTTGCAGCCAGTAGATGTCCATGTCCACCATGGAGTTGCAGAAGTTCGCTTGGATGTAGGTCATGGCTTGACCCTTGATCTGCAGACCGTTGCGCACCCACACGCCTGCTAGTATCTCGTAGAACAAACTCTGTGGATGAAAAGGTATTATTATTATTACGTAGGACTTGCTGTGCCCTCGGTTTCAATTGCGTAGCTTATAATTGGCATTTTTTTCAATGGAGATAGTAGAATTGTAGTCTATTAAAACCAAACAAACTGTTTATGGTAATAGTATGTGTTATTGAAATCTTTATTTTTGAAGGTTGGTCAGTTTTGTGTACGAAAATTTTATTGTAGTATGTTTAAAAACAGTGCACCGCAGAGATAAGAAAATGTCTAAGTTCTATAGTTCTAATTAAATATGGGTGAAATTATTGCTAGATTTAAAGCACTATTTAGAACTTTAATCGAAAGGGATATTAAACACAAGACATTACAATCTACATTCATACATCATCAATAAGGCAGGTAGAAAAAAGTATTTTTACAAAAGGAAAAAAATTGTCGCAAGTGTGCAACAACCTATAATTCTGCAACGATAGAAAGGTTACAAAGGTCACAATGAGATAGCGATGGTCCTTCTCTGTAAATACACATTATTGTCCATCAGTGCTCCTTATACGTCGGGATGGCGCATCGTATTAAAATACGTTTCCTACTATTGCTACTTCTTCTTTTCGCGGTAAAAAATGTCCGCAGTGACTTTATTGAAATGGACATGGACATCCCCGAACTGTCACAAGTTCTTCCCCTGATTATGAAATACCACGACAAGTATAAAGGAATTGGGGAAAGTAATATGGACAACCTTATAAAGACAAATCCTTCATTAGAGAAATTAATGGTGAAAGGTGAGTTAATTAATTTATTTCGAACCTCTGAACCTCAAATTTTTTTTTTTAAGAATTATTGCAAGCGTTGCCCCTCACTAGGATTTTCTCCTGTGTCGTGAGTGCGTTTACAAACATACAAATTCACAAACACATGACACCCAGACCCGAAACAACAATTTGTGGATCACACAAAGTGTTGTTCCGTGCAGGAATCGAACCCGCGCCACGACGCACGGCAGCCAGTTGCCCAGCCACCGCGCCAACCGTGCAGTCGAAAAAAAATTACATCTCTTGTAAATGGCTAAAAATCAAATAAGTACCATTCTGAATTGTAATTTTTTTTTGATAAGTATAAAATTAAACTAAATATATCTAGGTGATGTCATGTTTGTATTTGCCTTGGGTATTTGTATCCACCTTCTTACAACTGAGTGAATTTAGCCAAGAATTGGAATTGGACATTTTGACTGCACTGCACGGATAGCGCGGTGCCTGGGAAAGCCGCATTATGTGTCGCTGGTTCGATTCGCGCACAGAACAACTCTTTTTGTTATCCACATACCTATTGTTGTTCTGTCTCTGAGTGTGATGTGTAATCGTATCCACGACACAGGACAAAATCCAAGTTTGGGACTTAGTTTAAAAAAAAGAAAAAACTAAAAAACCAATTCATAATGTGTGAATAAAAAAAAACAAAAATATTTTCCAGCCCAAGGATTACTGCAAATAAAGTTATTGGAATGGGCAGACGTGGTTGGTCAAGTAGCCTTGATCGACCAGCAGTTGACCAGATTCTTGAGGGAAACTCAGGAATTGGAATCCGACTTGCTAGTGGACTACGCGGAGTGGGTCGTGTCACATGACCACGCTGCAGTCGCCGGACTCATGGAGAAGATGCGATCACTCGTCAGTCCACTGTTCAGGAGCCAAGGAGTTCTACAACTTGCTTTCAAGTTTACTGTACGTAGATGTCTATTCTGTTTAATTAATTAAAAAAAGACGTTGCCCACGATAGGATTTTCTCGTGTCGTGGATGCGTATACAAACATACAATTTCACATACACATCACACCTAGACCCGGAAAAAATATTTGTGGATCACACAAAGAGTTGTTCCGTGCGGAAATCGAACCCGCGACACGTTGCGCAGCAGCCAGTTGGTCAACCACCGCGTCAATTTATCTATCAAACTACACCTAATCGGCTGCACGATAAGGTAACATGTTATTTAGATAGCGTATTGTATTTTTAGTGTATTTTTTTCGTAATAATCCAGCATAGAATGTCGTGGTGGCCCGGAGGTTAGGGCCCCCGCATCTCAAGCATGAGGGCACCCTCAGGGTTCAAAAGCTGGCAAGTACCCGTGTGAATTTTTTCGAGTTATACATATTATGTGCTTTCTATGATCATGTAGACACCACTGGCATACGGTGAAAGAAAACATTGTAAGGAAACCTGGACTTATAATTGGTAATTATAAGTATGAAATCGGCAATTCACCAAGCAAGGTGATTAATGCTCAAACTTTCTTCGTGTGAGAAGATATCTTTGCTCAGCGGTGGGTAGTTATAGGCTGATGATGAGATGTGAAAGGGTAAAGGGGACAGTGACAGTTGTTGACCATAATACTGTTGCCATTTCACCACATTTTCTATTTCTTTGTTCTTTACAAGTGTATACGTGGGGTCAACATTTAATGTATTTTTGCCTATATGTAGTAAAAAGACTTCATGTGTGATGAATCGACATAACCACTTCTCAAGTGAGCGTGTGTGAGTGTATTCGTGTAAATGCGTTTGTCATTTTTTTTACATTGTTGCGTTTATTTAACTATTCAATATTCACAGCAGTCCACGTTCTTTATTTTCCTCGTACGAAGGCAGTTAGCTACCAAAGATTGTGCACGCATAGGTGAATAAACAGGACGTTAAGACTTACAACTGCTAGTGATTTATTATCGGTGTCCAATAACAGTTAGAGCTCGTGAACATTTGGTGACAATAATTCTGGAGACCTTTTTTTTAATTTACTAGCGACCCACCCCGGCTTCGAACGGGTGCAATGCTAATAGGTACTACATTTTTCCATTTATCACTCTACCTATTAAAGAAACCGTATCAAAATCCTTGACGTAGTTTTAAAGATTTAAGCATACATAGGGATACGACAATAGAGAAAGCGACTTCGATTTATACCATGTAGTAATGAAGTAAATATAATTGATATAGTTTTGATAATTGAGGTACAGGGGTAGAATATCATAAACGGAAAGACGCAGAGGGTGTTGATAACAAAAAGTGTAAAAATACAAAGAACTCTGTCTTTAACGATCGCCATGTACATAGGGACATTTTAAGAATATTACTGAAAATAAAGAGACAGAAAAGAGTCCCACTCGATGGTTGTTGTTTTTTTATGCAGTAAGACGGCTAAAAGGTATACGCATCATCAATGAACCCATTGCACCCACTGAATATAGAATATAAATAATATATAAAATAACGTATAAAAGAATAAATAAAAATAAAAAATATAAATTAAATTGAATATAGAACCCATTGAATACGGAAGAAGTAACCCGCCTTTTGGAGGGTGTTATGAATTTGAGTACTGGTGTTTTGGGGCTGGAATGATTGTACTATGGTTAATCGGTAAAATCTCAATTAATTAAGCAATTCTTCAAGTCAAATGATGAATCAATTTGATTACGGCACGGAGTAACCGCGACATTCTTCACTCAGCGAGGATGTAAACAACACAAAAGTATGTTGTTGCATACGTTTTGTTTGCCTTAAAAATGCCTTCGGGACGAGATTCGACGTTATCTCGAGCGTTTGAATACCCAAACACTATTTTTCTTTCTTATATTAAAATATTGTGTGATATAAATTTAATTCCTTGCTCCTAGGATACGTTGGGTACATACTCGTACGTATAAATATATGTTTTTAACAAGTAGCAGCGTCCTAAGTTTCATATTCAGATTATCAGTTCCCTGAATGAGTTCTCATGTTAGCAAAATGATTTCTTTGAATCGCTTTATGTAGGTATAAGTATAAAACGAAAGGTTGCATTAATATTCATGCAATGCAATCTGTATCTCCAGTAGGTAGTTTCATTAACAATGAACTATAAACATTTCCAAGAATAATGGAGCCGGGCTAATGGTCAAGATGTAGTAAAGAAAAATTAAAATCGAACCTTAACAATAAATAAATTTATTTATAACAAAATAATGTAATAACAGACTAGGTAGTTATCCCCATTAAACCATATAGGAATATTTAATAACATTAAAAAAGTATGCAGAATTTTATTATTTGGTATATCTACCTACAACCATTAATATCTATTTCGCTGCCATTAACATTGACATAACTTTATTCTAACATACCTAAGTTATAAAAAATCCCGACACAAAAAAAACTTTTATCGTAAAGGGCCCAAAGTATGTTATCGTACGACATAAGAAATGGAAAGTGTTCCAAAAACTGTTTGTTTGTTGACAATACGAGGGAGCGGGTAAACGCGTGCTTGGCAACCGCCCGGTGTTGCCAGCATCACTAACCATTTACCTCATTCGGGGACTCGTTTGGATAAATATTATATATTATTTTTGAATAATTATTTTCCATATCAAATGACAATATTAATTTGTGTGCATATTGCCTTGTTATATTAATCTATCACAAATAACATTTCAACAAAAATCAAGCACGTCATAACTTAACCTATAGTTAACAACAACTTTCACTAACACTTTGCTAAATAAAGTCCCACCAATGAGAGCGCACTGAAATCAAGAAACGGTAAAAATATTACGAAACTTGCTCGGTCAGTTCTACGGTATCACTGAGCCAGTGCTTAGGCGCATTATTAAATTAATGTAGCGGTCATACGAGGCAAACTTTAAGCAAGATATTTTTAAATAATTTGACTCTAGTGAAGGTTCCATAGTAAATGTAATTTGTTGCGTTAGTGGTAATTTGTGGTGTGTGTGTTGGCAACCCCGCGACCTCGAGTGTGCTACATCAGTGGGTGCGCGTCAGCCGCCATGTCCGTTCGACGCTTGCGCAGCTTTCGCGTCCTTCTTGTTATACTCGTATTCGCGAACACATCGCGTGCACTCGTTGACGAGGTACTCGACGTGCTTAAACTAGGTAAAGAAGTGGGTGAAGAGGTGCTCAACTCCTGGGATGTGTTCGGGAAGCCTTTCAATGCGACCGGTGGGGTGGACCTGCCGGTGGTCCGCCGA